CGCTATTCGTATCTGTGACACAATCACTAACTTCAAGAAATAGTTATGCTGTTGCTAGAGATTATCGACTATTCCCAGAACTCACACAAAGTCCCCAGGCACTCTTTTATGGTCACCAAATATTTAGATAAACCTCAGAAAACTAATTATAGATATGACCATATTGTGTTCTCATTACCACCCATACATGTATCATGAAATGGTAGACAAATCCCCCTGCTCCTACTAACAGCAATAGGTTACGCCTTTGAGGTATTAACCGTGACTTTTCTCTGCTTTTAAATTCCAATCACCTATTGACTGACTCATCTTACAAATCATACCATTCGTTTACTTAAAATCAGTGTGATATGCTTCGTGGATATTTTCTCTGGCGAAGTTATCTGGATGGCTTGTAATATGGAGCTAGTAGAGAAAGTGAATTCCGATAAGGTTTACAAAAAAAAATTAGAGTACACTAGAGACCATTATTTACAATCAACCATTAAACGTAAGAGAGCCTAAAATCACAAAAGGAGGGAGGGTGGAGTTTCTGACCAGCATTCATGACGGTGGGGCGATAACCTCAATCTACCCATGTCTGTGTGGCAGAACATTTTGTTTGCTTACGGCTCCTTACGATATGGCAGGATGTAACAAATCAGTGATATTGATGTTACTTTTCCTAGTTAACCTCGTCTACAACTCATGTCTGTAACCTTGCACTGGTTTTTACTTCCTACCGAGAAATCCTATTACAAGCTGGTCTGGATAACTATACTAAAAAAGAGCTCATTCATAATTTCTTGAGCTGCAGAGTTAAAAATAAAAAGAATATATAAAACAAAAAATTATATCACTGAGCCTCTTTATTATATTTTGTAAATCAACTTTATTACTAACAACTTGGTACTTCTGAATTTCCTCTATTCTTTCGACTAACTTCCCAATAGTTATCTCACCAATAATTTGTCTTCATTAACCTACATAAGTGCAGGTGTACAGTAATGACATTAAAAAAGTCTGAGTAAACATACCTTTGTTTTATCTATAAACGTATTTTCTGTTCCGCTCCTCGTCCCGTCTTCTTTATTCCTCTTTTTTCAGAACCTTATTCCACTCCTCATATATTAGTCTGGATATTTGCAGTAGACTTGGTTACCCTACCCAAGAACATGTGAAATCATTAGCTGATGAATATCAACCATACCTTTGTACATTTACCGCATCAATTCTTGTTATATGCAAACCTATCTCTACCATGAATCGTTTCTCAGTCCATAAGATGATTGTCGTAACGCAACCTTCGTAACTTGCGCCAATTATTCGCATTGAACATTCCATCTTTAAGAACACAATGAATCTTGTGAAATGTTTCAGTAAATGTATACCGTTTTAAAAGAAATATGTTGTTAATCTTAACATTTTGATCTTGCCTGTAAATTGGCATGTCTCTTGTAACATGTTTGTTATTTGAGAATAAATTATTATTATTATTATTATTATTACATGACGGACTTTTTCTGTTGACATTTTTGGTACTTTATTTGATTCCAATTTGAGGCTTTATCATTGTATATTGTTATTCTTTCTATATTTTGTACTTATATTGAAGTTTTTGTGTTTGCTTCTGAACTGTACATATGTTGTTTAAATTTGATATAATATGGCTACCGCCACAATTTTGGACGGACGCAGTGGCCGCTGGACTTAGCGTCACTTATTGTTATTGTGTCTGATACTCTGCGGAGTAACTTTACCTTGGAAGAAGCACTATATCCGTAATGCTTTGTATTTCCATTTTTTAACTAATACAGAGACGTTTTCTCCTAGAATTTTGTCCTTTTTGAATTGGTTGGGACCCGGAACTGGGGAAAGCGTACAGGAGTGCCTCTATTGGAACCAATTGGGATGGCCACTGTAGAAATACATTTACATATACAACGGACTAACCGTAGAATCTATTTTGAATGTTTTGTTTTTTGGAAAATCCCTCCATGTGTATATATTTGTGTTATAATATGACTGACTCTTTCTGTTGACATTTTGGTGCTCTATTTGATTCCATTTTGAGATTTTATCATTGTATATTGTTATTATTTGTATATCTTGTACTTCCATTGAAGTTTTTATGTTTGCTTCTGAACTGTATATATGTTGTTTAATTTGATATTTAATATGGGTACAGCCATATTTGGATCTGATATTTTAACAGTACGGACTGGAGGCACTTATTCTTCTAGAAACGGATACCCCCCGGGGTAAATTGGAAATAGAAGGTGTAATATTGTTTGGTAATCGTCTGTTTTTCCATTTTATTGAATTAAAGGGCCGTTTTCTACCAGAATTATTGTGTTTTTATTACAGATCTGGGTCGGCGCGTACCCAGTGATCCTACTAAGTGGTCCACTAGAAGTTGCTAACCTGGAAGGTTAAAGGTAAAGTTGCAATTTTAGGTGGCTTTCGGGTTCTATTCATTCGTAATTAGTTTTAGTGATAATTTTCCTCCTATCAGAACTCGTACCACGAGTATTTCCCGCTTCCAATATTCTCAGTTTTTCATCTCCTGATGTGTGAAGTATCGTGGTAAGTAATATGGTCACTTCCACTTCTTACATTATAACAACTTGGAAACCTAGTCGAGATATAAATTCCGGGGTTAATACTTGGTCGAAAATCCCAGTATTGCGCTATAGAGCCAAGAAAAAGACCGAAATGTCACTTGATAGCGTACCTCATAACAGTGTTCACAATTTGGATCACTCAACACAAACACCAACAATGGGTCCTTAACATAAATCTTGTAACGAAACTCCTTAGATTCTTAGCCCCAAGAAGAACAGTGGAAAAATAAAAATGTGAGAAAAAGACGTCCTATGGCTCACCCAATACAGTCTTTCTTTCAAAAATCGCACGAGAATAACCGTATCGCTTATTCGATAACAATCAAAGCTAATAACACTTCTTTTGAATGCAACTCATGCAGAACATTGGTCCATCGTCACTGCGACACAACGATACTTAGAGAGTACTAGGTATTCATGCTCAGACGGTCCAGTCCGTTGTTCAAGTGCATCTGTCCACTTTTCAGAATCACTGAGCTAACGAAAAAATTAGCATAAACAAACCACTTGTTCCAGTAAAACCTAAATTAAGTCATATCAACATGATAGGATAGTAATTTCCTTCAATTAATAAGTCATCTACAACGAATATAGTTTAAAGACACTTCAGGCCAGATCAAGTGGTGGACGCTTAAACCACGATTTAATTTGTTAGTTATAGAAATAAAGGACATTCCCCCCAAGCAGACATCATGTCCAGGTCTCGTTACCATCACGCTCAAATAATCGGCCTCTTCCGTATATCTCGGTTAATCTCTTTGGTTGCTGTCTTCAAGCAAACTGTTTTAGTTTGACCATCTGGACCACAGTTGACCTGTCTAACTATAGCATTCGGCCACAGATTTCTCGGTGAGCCAATATTGTTTACTAACACTGAGTCTCCCGGTTGTGTATACTTTTCTATCGAACGTATGATGCGTCCCCATGCTTCCAGATGAAGTTAGCTGTCCAAACACAGGTGAAACCTTACAAAAATGATAAAACATACGAGGATAGAATCCATCATTTGGGATTATTTCACCTGAATTGCACGAAGATCAAAGGTGATCTGGAAATGAAGTACAACATATTGAGGTTGCCTATCATCTCTGCTTCCTCTCCCTTGCTTACACTTCGGTCCCCCCGCGCAATCTTCACTACCAATTAATGAACTAAATTATGTATAGATTACTTTTGTCTGAAGTCCTCTTATTATCATCTGAATTATCTCCCTATTATACTCTAAATTCCAACTAACTGATCTCCTGTCTATTAATTTAATAGCCACTGGTGTCCAGAAACCTCACTGCTCTGAAACAAACGTTTTCATTCAAACCACGTTACATGCAAACACAAACAACCGTCAGGTGACTAGGGTTAGTGCAGTCGAGTAGCTAGAATCTCATATATTGGGGCTATTAAACACCTGGACTCGCACCGGAACATCAAGAATCTAATGAAATGTTATCTACTGGTCCATACTAGCTCGTGAAAAAGATATTGGATATTGGAGGAATGTTGAAACTAACACAGAAGTGCGCGTTCTAAGAATATGTTGTTACGGCGTCAGCTGTTTTTCGTGTATACTTTCATAGTCTGTGTTTTGAATCATATGACGTAACAATATCATTTTATTAAAACTTTCTCGCGGAAACAAGTAATCTCGAGTATCTCTACAAAATGTCCAGTGTATTTAAAACGTGTGAACTGTGTGGTGGTCAAATTCCTGATCAGTCAGAATTATCTTTTGAAGAGATGATCACAAACTGGTTAGATGAGAATCCTGAATTTACTTTCAAGTATTTTGTTAAATCGGCATCTTCAAGCATGGTTGAAGCATGGGCTAACGGACGTAATCATACCGAATCCGATTGTCTATTTGATAATTCAATGGCTGTTATGGATGAGCGTAATAATAAGAATGATCAAATTTCTGTTAAAAACTCTTTGTCATTACCCGTACGAAAGATCAGCAGCCAGGATTTGGAACTAACTCATGATAAGCGTATTTTATCCTCTAATGAAGATGGGAAACCTACATTTATAACCTCAGGGTGCTTTCCATTCTTCAACAATGAATGCAGTGATCCAAATATTAGTTTATCACGGCAGTCTACCACTACTGCAAGTCGTCTAACACAACCGACTGAGAGGGACCTAATAAGTGAACTTACTTTGGATATTTGTCATGAGCTTGATGTGACATCTTTATGCTTCAAAATAGTGCAAAATGTTTGTAGGTTAATCAATGCTGATCGTGGGTCCTTTTTTCTCGTCGAAAAATCACGTTCAACCGGTGAAGATGTTCTTGTTAGCAAACTTTTTGATATTACCCCTGATTGTGTATTTGATGATGTTTTACAACGATGTTCTTCTAATCATATCATTGTTCCCTTTAATGTTGGTGTAACAGGCTATGTGGCACGAACTGGAGATTACGCAAATATTCCGGATGCGTATGCTGTAAGTTCTTCTGGTACCATATACGTTTATGCATGTAAAAAGTGTCAGCCACTTAACGGATTAATAAAAAATCTTATATGTTTATTAATCGGTGTCAGTAGTTCGACAGTTAAATTAATTTAAGAGATCTGATAATTAAATGAAGGTTTGCTAACACAGAAATACGTTTTTAGCAGTGCATTTTATGCAAGTTAATACTACTGAGGTGCTAAAATCTCTAAACCACTAGCCCTATGGTCCTTAGGAGACAACTCAAAACACTGACTGTGGTGCAGGAGAACTTATTATTTATCTTCTTCCGCATTCACCATCTCAAACGTGCTTTGTTTCGTCACTTCCTGTTGATTTGTCACTGCTTACTAAACTTATTTATCTATTAATTTTTAGTAACTGATAAATTTGAACGATCGTATTAGTCTTATTGTTAGTGTATGTATTTGATGTTTTCGAAATATCAATTGTTAATATCTTTCTAAACGTTTTGACAGGATCCCCGATTCAATGATTCTGTAGATCGTGTAACGGGATATAAAACACGTTGTCTTATATGCATGCCCATAAAAAATGTTGACGGAAAGGTGTTGGGTGTTGCGTTAGTTATCAATAAAAAAATTCCTTCCTGTCAACAACATGATCAAAGTGCTAACTCAATTCAACCTAGCAGCTGTGAGTGTGAATCAAGCAGTAAACATTCTTCATTCACTGAGGAAGATGTAAAAGTATTTCAATCGTACGTTGCATTCTGCGGTATTGGATTACATAATGCACAAATTTATGAGCAAAGTCGTTTAGAAACCTATCGCAACCAAGTAAGTACTATCCATTCTTATTTGACTTCTATTTCCCTTATTCTTTCTTGAATTTTTTAAGAGTGCTTTTGGTGCGAGCTATAATTTGTAAGAGTTGAAATAAAATTAGGCAACATTATCTTATTTATTTATTTCCATCCAGAAGAACATAACGATACTCTCCTTGAATAATGAAAAGCAGAATGTCTAGTTATAACAGACAGAATATTGAGAGTTTATTATTGAGTAATAATCTGAAGTGCAGGTAATTTGGCTACTCATACTTATCTGGGTTTGAATTGTCATTTGATTGTTTTCAATCAGTGATAAAACTATTTTCAGAAACGCATCAAAAGTAACTAAAATGGGTTCGGTTTATAGTTTGATCAACTTCCTGACTTTTACCTATAATCGAAAAGTGGGTAGTTCAAATTTTTCAACTGGTATGGATTTACCAGCCGTTACAACCCCTAACTGTGAGTTTGATATCCTGCCTGCGTGCGATGATCTATGTTTGCAAAATACTTAGTTTTAATGAAAAATTTTATCTCTCTTCATTTTCTACTAGATTTTTTGAATGGTGGAACTTTTTCATTTTTATAGATCACTAGTTACACATAGTCAAATTTTCATAACGTACTAGTCTTATCTCATGAGAGATTTCTTAATGATTATATTTTTCTCCCAGTTAATTAAGAAATTAAGAATACGAAACGGGAAAAACCTCGAAGTTTACTTCATGTTCATATCTACATAGATACAGTTATTTGTGATCATGTCATTATTCATTTCTATTTGGTTGATTTTACTCAATACGTATGATATTTAACAGTTCTGTTTAATTTAATTGAAGTAACACCACTGTGTTCACTTATATTCAGTACTTTTAGTTGGGATATAACATCTATCAAAAGTTATCTAGATTGTAAAGTATTCTAATGCAGGTGAAGGCTGGGACATTTTATTGTTCAACTCTTACTACTACAATTCGATAAGAAGTTTTTGGATGTAATAATAACTTTTGTTCATGTATGAATAAACTCGAGTCAAGTTATTTTAATTGAGTAACACTTAACGAATAATATAATATCTGTCATTATTAAATTTTCAAATCCTGCTAAAAAAAGCGATACAATTGATACGATTAAAGAGCATTTTATGGCCTTGACAAAAAGGATAAAATAAAATTCTGTACTCATATCCGAATATTTTAACCGGATATAAGCGTCACGATAAGCAGGTGAAATAGGTTATTCGTACCCTTTAAACCAAGCAAGTATCATATTAGGGTGATTCTCACATTTCAATTTTCATTTATCACTATTAGTGTGTTATGCTGAATTTATCAGGATGTTCAGTCGTTCATTATTTTTATTGTCTAAAAAAACATTGTCTTTTATCGAACGATGTCTTTCGTTTAGAACTTATAGTCATTAAGTGATTCGTTGGCAAGCTTTGTATATATATATATATATATATATATATATATATATATATATTTGTCGGCACCAAGTTTAGTTTTATTAGCGCAAATACTTAGTTTGTATTACTTTAGTATCAGTAAAAGTATTTCAAAATTTGTCTTCATTAATCTTAATATGTCGTTTTTTCATTCATGACGTTTTTAAATATTCAACTTAACCATTGAGTTATATTTTCAATATGAGTGAATATGTCTCTCAGTAAATGTGTGTATATTTCATAGACTTTCATTAGAACTTCTAAATTAATCGATATGTGTTGAGATCTATACTACTTATTTGTTTTAAATAAAAATGAAATAAAAACACCGAAGATTATGTAGTCTGTTGAGAGTAGAAATGTTTATTTCATGTGATGCTATGATTAATTGTGGGAAATTATTTTCACTGTAAAATTCAATACCTAATAATCATACTCTTATTAATTTGGTTAGTGTGTGTAGTGCAAATTTACAATTGTTTTGTCTATCAGTAGTTTGTTTTTGAATGAAACAAAAAAACCCATATACTTATTGTATATAAATGTACACGCACACACACACGCACACCTTGTTAAAGTGTTAAAGACAATTAGAACAATCTCTCTCTATAATGATTGACTTGTAATTATTACCATTTATTACAAGATTGAATAAATCACTTGATCAACTAGTTAACCAGTATTGTTTATGTGATTATTGAATTGACAGATTTTTATTGAATTCAATTGTCACTTTATAGGAAATGTTGATTGCTAGTAAACTTCACTAATAATTTATTTAACTTACAATGCTTTAAATCAATCGAATTTTCGACCTTGTTTCACCATACGTTCAGCAATCCAATTATTACTATCTAATTTGATTTTGACAATTTTGTTCATTGTATTACGGGGTTGTGAAGATTAAATAAGTTACACATTTTTTGGAACCATGAATCGATCAATGTTAGACCACCATTAGAAACCTGGAAGCGCTGTAAGACGGCCGTTTGCGTCCTGGTATGGGACTCCTCAGCAGTGCGCACCACTAGTTTTCATATACAATTAAGAATGATTCAAAGTTGTGCATATAAGCATTTTAGTCTCAACTGCTGAATTATATAAAAATTGTTTGATAACATTTTGATTCCGACTTTGTATTGAGTTAAGATTATTTTCTGTAAATAAAGTAGTGACTACACAGTGGTTACAGACACTGTGATCTGTTGTCCAATAGGTCACTATGACCCACTTGAATTTACTTCGTCAACTGAGTAGTATCCTCGTGAATAGTGTAGCTTTAAAATAAACACTTAAACCTGTATGCAATAATGAAGTTACATGACTAAAATCCTATTTATCTAGTCCGTAGTGTGAATCAAATTCTATCCATTAACTGATAATAATAATAACTACTATTTTGAGTCGGTGAACATTGCATGCAGTTTCATTTTATGTTAGATAATTAACTGATTACAACTTATTAAAAAAGTTCAACATTCTTTTTTCTATTATTAGTTAATATTCATTCTTTTAGTTATCATTATTATTATTACAACTATTATTATTAGTATGTATGTGTGTTTTTTCATTGTTGTTGCGTTTCACTTTTGTTTTTTTTTCATTTTTTTCTACTAGGTACTTTTAGAACTTGCACGAATTATATTCTCTGAACAACTCGATATAACTCGTCTGATTTATTCAGTATTATCGCATACAATTTGTTTATTACAATGTCAACGTTGTCAATTACTCTTGGTGAAAACAGCTTCATCATCTATGTCATCTTATTCGTCCATTGATGAAGTAAGTAATTGTGATAAAAAGCAATTTTTTAGAGTTGTTTACACAAATATCTTCTACATAGGAATTCATTCCGTAACAATAGTTAACCCTGAATAAAAAAGAAAACAAATCGATAAACGTTGATAATTAAATTAGATTATTAAGTATTAGGCTGTTTATCAAATTATATGATTACTTCATTAGGTTTCTGTGAATTTCCTAGGTTGTGTTTTAAATCGAAAATTCGTTGAAAAATAAGAAAATGTTAATAATCTGTTTCATTGTTGTTCGAAACTCTTTAGTAGTTCTGTTATTTTTTTTTTTTGAAAGAAGCAAACCTGAATCGTTTTTGAAACCATGAATCGATCAATGTTAGACCACCATTAGAAACCTGGAAGCACTGGACGGCCGTTTCGTCCTGGTGTGGGACTCCTCAGCAGTGCGCATCCACGACTCCTGCACCCCGCAAGATTCGAACCCAGGACCTCCGGTATTGTAGGCGAACGCCTAACCATCGGACCACTGGGCCGATATCTAACGGTGTTAATGTCTAACTTGATCAATTCACGGAGTTGCGCAACCTCATACACAGTCTTCGGTAGACACTGCCTACACCCAAACAGGTTGAACTTCACTGGTCACGTCTTCCCACTAGAACTCGGAGAAGATTCCTCACGAAGCTAGTCACTAGTGAGCACAGGTAGTTTGCATTACGGGGTTGTGAAGATTGTTAAGTTACACATTTTTGAAACCATGAATCGATCAATGTTTGACCACCATTAGATCTAACATTGATCTATTTATGGTTTCAAAAATGTGTAACTTAACAATCTTCACAACCCCGTAATGTGAATCGGTTGCAATCAAAACTGAATCACTGAATTGAAAACAAAGAGTTGAGAAAGAAGTTTACAATATTCCATCTTAGCATAGATTTTAAATTATATTTTTAAATGAGCCAGTAAGGAGTGTACCTCAGATAAAACAGGCGTGCATTGACAGGATCAGGAGCTTGAAGAATCTAACTATCTATCCTTCATCTCGTTCAATTCAGGATAATGTATGTTGTATGTATCATTATTTAATGCAAGGGGAACAAAATAATAGGACATACATATCGTTCCCCTAACATTGAAATTTTCATTAGTTACAATGTATTGGTTAATGACGTATTCATGACTTAAATATATAGAATAAGTTTTAAGGCGGAAAGGTCTATTGATCTATCAGCAAATAGAGTAACTATTCAATGTTTCATTATATTCTAATGTATAATTATAAAATGTGACTTTTCAATAATGAAATTGAATCTAATAAATTATTAATGTTTGCATAATAATGGAAATTTTGTACCTTACTCATCAGACAAGGAGTCTCAAAATTGACTCTGATTGTTTAAACTCAGGTTTATGTTGATCACAGTGAAAGTAAATTATACTGACAAATCAATACCATTTAATTTGACTCCTTTCGAGTTTATGCGCAAAAGTTGAGATTCATTAAGTGGCCAGCTAGTATCCTATTGGCAATGAAGACAAAAATCCGCATACATGGTTTCAATTGTGGATAACAACATAGTGATTGTGAACTTTTCCGAAACCTAACTTATAATAAGGATTCGCTTCCCAAGTACAACGCATCTGAGCATACTCCGTAAGATTCGATAATATGACCGAGAATGTCTTTGTGGATAAAAAATATTTTACCACTATCACACTTCTAGCCCTAATTCACAACTATAGGCCAATTAATACGTAACTCTGAACTTTTTCGTTCACTTTAACAAATATCTCTCTATATACAAGCGTTTATTGATCATATGAAAGCTGTTTACTAGCTAAAATTTATTACTGTTTATTACAAATGGTTATATAACTAAATACTGTTACTAATTGGCTGATAAGTTCTTTAGGGTTGTAGGTATAGCATGTTTTTACTATTGATCAGTCACCAAAATTATGAATTTTGTTAACAACTTCAAGTGTTTTCGCGTGAAACTTTTTAAATAACGTTACCTTCAACCTAATTAATATGTTTACATCACAAACTGAACTTAATTACAAAGTCAGTGGAAACCAGGAGTCATTAGACAGTTATTTCGTCCTGGTATGAGATACCTCAGCAGCAGTCCCATCCACGACCCTATCGTTGATAAGATTCATGACCTTCAGGTTTTGTAGTTGACATCCGTTGGCTAATATTCACAAGATGGAATCAACCAAAACCTGAAAGTATTGGGTTTGATGTGTGGCGGTATGTGGATCCGCACTGTTGAGTAGTCCATACTAGAAGGAAACAATTGTCTAACGCTTCCTTATTTCCAATAATTATCTAACTAAGATCACATCGTCATATAAACTGTCAGGCTCAAAAATTTCTACGAACCTCTTTACAGTAATACTAGCTAGTATGGCTGGAAATTTATTTCGACCAAACAAAAAGATGCATTAATCATATTTCGAGTTATTTATTTTTATGAGAGAAAAAACCCATCTTCTACTTTATTTAATGATATTGTTTTAAGAACTTAGTTACTTTTTGTTACATGATTAAACAAAATCAATCAATACACTGTTTTTTTTAATATATTGTCTTAATGTATTCGATTGTAAGTTGACCTAATTATTTATGTCAATAAAACATATGGAAGATGAATAGTTGCACTTTAGCAATAAAACAAACAAATAATAAAATAAATAGATCGTGATCATTGCTCAGATGCATAACTTGCATTTCGTCCTATTTGGGACTCGTCAGTTGGATGTATTTTTGCACATCCTGTAGGATCCAAACTGAGGTTTGGACTGTGGAATAACTGTCTAGGTAGTTTAGATACATGCCTTGTCCAGTTGAAACCAAAACAAGTGATTTGGATAAATCACGGTTCTAATATTCATCATAAATATAAATATACATCATTACCTAAACAAATATTACCACTCAGTTATATTCCACCAACAATTGTTCAATTAATCAAACCAAACAGCAACAAATAAGTGTCATTCTATTTTTTCTGGATAGATCAGATTCCTTCGAAAAATAATAATCTTTGGTTCCTATATAACACAGAGTGCTTCAATTCACCATCGAAATGCACAATTCCAGTCAATGCAAGCGACACAATCAAAAGAGGAACAAATCATTATGGATTCCGCCATAACTAAGTATCAGCTAATGTATACCTAGAGGGATTCTTACAAACAAAGCCCTCAAAAATGGATGGATCTTACACATCCTAGTATTGTTGTTTACACTGGGACTCAAAACTAGTTCCTCTCTAGAGTAGAGTTAGCTGTTACTGGTTTAAACTAGATAGCCACTAGTTTGTGCAATAGGAATGAATTAAACTTTATCCAAAAAAATATGACATAAAGAATAATTATTTATTCTAGTAACCTAATTTTTTTTTTTTTTAATTCTTTGATGAAATCAAACACAGTATTATAGCTTTGATGGAAAAAATCAATGCTGTAAAATATCAAACATGAAATTTCATTTTTCTGAAATATGAAAAGAAAACAAATGAATATATATTTCATCAATTGAACAAAATTTTTGTTGTAAGATAATGTGATTTAGATAGGTAATTGTAATTCGGAGCCTATACACAATGTTAAATAAAAGAAATATATTGAAATGTATTTAGGCTGTTGCTTAGTAATTGAAATGATATCATGCAATTGTATATAATTAGAAGGCTACTACCTCTCTCTCTTTATATATATATATATATATATATATATATATATATATATGAATGCCTTAGCAACATATTGTTTCACTAAACATACATTATTCACAGTTTAGGAAAACATAGTTATCCTCATTTCTAAAAATGAAATCTAAACAAATATCATGTCATTGAAAGAATTTAGTTCATTATTTAAAATATGGTAACTGCTTAATGTAAAACGATAATTGTAATAATCCTATTAATAGTAATTCATGTTTCTGTATAAATATATATATATATATATATATATATATATATATATATATATATATATATATATATAGAAGTAATTAGTGTATTTTTAAATAATTGAAATTCTACTGCTTTTTAACAGGTTTAAATTGATCATTTGTTCATAATCTATAACTTTGAGAGGATTATGTTTCGACAATCAATAGTTATTATTTGTCATTGACAATATGGCATTCTCATATTTTAATCCCGACCGTAGCTGCTGCCTTGACGAGGTGGTCGAGCTTGCCTATTGTCATGAACCAATCGAGCTATATTGGCTGGATCACCGTTTACTTTAGGTCCTACCATGCCTGGCATGTCGATTGGAGAACGGTAAGTCTAAAGGCAGCAACTTAAGGTCTTAGGGTGAAGTTGTACTGTTGATTGTCAAGGGATATGACAGCAGCATATACTGCAATGCTGCCTTCTCACAAGAAAGGAAGGGGTTGGAAGAGATCAACCCCAAAAATGTCACACTTCATCTTACCCCACCGATCTTCGTCTCACGTGGCAAGGCTTTTTGAAGAATGAAGTGGAGCTAATACTTCAGAAAGTTCTTACAAAAGTACCGAGGGTGACCGGCTTCAGGCTGTTGTATCTTGCGCACTGTGTTCACGCTCCCAGGTCTCTAAGACCAACACTAATCCAATTGCCTTTTCATGTTCCTCCAAAAATACTCTTCCACGTTTTGGGCAGCCTTCATGCTCTCCCTACAGCATATGAGACCAACTTGTTCACGACCAAATCTTTTCCCCACTTCTTAATAACATTTTAGTATTTTAAGGAGTTATAATATTGTTGTTCAGTCTCATTGTCGACGTTACATTAAAATGAATCTAAATTAAAGTTGATCTAATCAACCAAATCTTTATGAAATACTCAGTCTTTATAAATAATATCTACTGAATAAAATGATACTTTTATATTGTACTATAAATAAAATTTAAGTTCAACTAGTCAAATTCATAATACGTTATTTAAGTCACATAAATATTACAATCATAAATCTTTAGAGACTAATTATAGTAGTAACATTATCTAGTATGCTGATCAG